TTAGATAATTGCATTAATGAGAAATTGAACAGGTGTTCCTAATAATCCTTTAGGTGAGTGTATATATAATGTATTATTTTATAACATCTGAAAGAAACTGAAATTGAAAACCATTGCTTAGTTTATGATCCACTGGATAAACACGGACATAACAGACGGTTTTAGAGTCCAGTGCTGAATGTTTATCAGTATCATTTTTGCGTCTATTGTATATACCCTGTGTCACGCTCCGGGGCAAGCGAGCCGGAAAGCAGGCGAGATCAACCGGAGCAGCGGGCTGGACAGAATGACGAATCTCTCACATAAGCTCAGCGCTACTGGGGAGGGTCTCCCCATGGAAGAAGAAGTCATCCATTGGACGAACCTCCTCGAACTACAGGAGGATCCAGTGGCCCGTCGGTTGATCGACAGGTGTTGGGATTTCCTGCACAGGAGGTTCCACACCGGTGAGCAGCAGCAGCTAGTTGAGGTAGGCAGAAACCTACTGCTGCAGAGGGAGAGAGCGGCAGTTTGGCTGGCCCCCCTGGTGTATGCCGACTGGGAACCGCCCCCCGGCTCACCACCTACCTTCATCCCGGTCTTAAGCAAGGCGGCAAAGGCTCCAGCCGCCCAGCGAAAGACAACTTTCCCCAAGCGCACGACTGAGCTTAACGCGGCTTCTGCCACTCAAACCTCCAGCTCCGGAAGGAAGCGGCGAAAGCCGCGCCGAGTGCAGCATGAGGGAGAGTCAGTGCTCTACCTAGGTGCCTGCTCCCTAATGCCCGCGTGGGAGGGCGCCTTTCTTACCGGTGAGCCCCATGACGAGGAGGAGCTACCTCCTTTGGAGGCTGGTGATTACCGGCCAGAGCGCTTTCCTGGAAGAGGGATCAGCGCCGTAAAAGAAGCAAGTCCACGGGTCCCTAAAGCCCTTAAAGGGGCAGCACTTGCTCGGCCGGCGTCCATCCAGGCTCCCACTCCGGACCTGCCTGCAGCACCGCCTGCTGCTGCTTCTGCCGCTCTGCCCGTGGCACCGCCTGCTGCTGCTGCCGCCTCTCTGCCCGCGGCACCGCCTGCTGCTGCTGCCGCTGCTCTGGCCGCAGCAACCCCTGCTGCAGCGGCCATCGCCGCTACGCCCGAGGTGCGCACAGAGGCGCCCCCTGCTGGCCGCACGCCCGTGGTGTGCGCCGAGGCGCCCCCTGCTGGCCATGTGACTGCAGCACCCGCCAACGCCCCCCCTGCTGGCCACGTGACTGCGGCGCCCGCCAAGGCGCCCCCTGCTGACCACACACCCGCGGCCCTGCCTGAGGCCGCCGCTCTGCCCGCGGACCTGCCTGAGGCCGCCGCTCTGCCCGTCCAGCCTGGCTCGCCCGTCCAGCCTGGCTCTCCCGTCCAGCCCGGCTCTCCTGTCTTGCCCGTCCAGCCTGGCTCTCCCGTCCAGCCCGGCTCTTCTGTCCAGCCCGCTGCTCCGGCTGCACCGCCTGCCGCCACGCCTGCAGCCTCATCAGAGGCCCTGCCTCTAGTTCCCCCAGTCTTCATCCCTGTCCCCGAGGAGGTCCCAAATTGTTGGACTACCGCTCCTTCCTCCGGGCTTCCCCCTACTGCCTGCCTTCGCCGCTGTTCTCTCCTGCTCCCTCCGTGTACCCTCCGTCTCTCCCTCGTACCGTTCCCTCGGTCCCAGTGTGGTCCCCTCCTGCTCCCTCCCCCCTCTCCCCTGTGGCCCCTCCGGCCGCTGCCCATCACCCGCCTGGGCTCCCTCGGGCTCCCTTTTGTCCCCCTTCCGTTCCTGTCTGGTCTCCCCTGTCTGCTTCTCCTCCTTTCGTCCCGCCTGTGTTTGCTCCTCGTCCCTCTGTTCCTCCTCTGTTCACTCCTGGCCCCTTCGTGTCGCCTGTGGGTGTTCCCTCCGTGTCGACCCTTTTCTGTCTGCCTGTCGGCGTTCCCCATCCTTTGTCAGGTCTTGTCGTTTTTCTGGTCCCTGTTCCTGTTCTGTGTCTCTGTCCTATTTCCGGTGTCCCGTTGATGTTTTGCTTTTGTTTTCCAGGTTTTGGGCCCCTCGTCTCGTCCGTCGCCTCCTCTCGGGCGCGCCCCGTGTGCGCGCCTTTGGGGGGGGGTTATGTCACGTTCAGCTCCGAACGATCCTCGTGTGTGCCACGCCCCCTCATTACCTCATGTCGACTCCTGATTGTCATCACTTGTTACCTATTCCTTTTGCCTTGTCTCATGTATTTAGTCCGAGTCTCAGTCAGTCTTCCCCAGATTCGTCATTGTTAATGTCCATGCCTGTCTCTCCTTTCGTTGCTATTAAACCTCGTTTACCCGAATCTCCGGCTGATCTCGCCTGCTTTCCGGCCCGCTTGCCCCGGAGCATGACACCCTGTGATTGGTAAAGTCAAATTTGGGAATGAACTGAGTCGGAATTTTAGCCTTAAACAACAAACCAATGCTGTAGCATGTCATTGTAGTTACATGTGGGAGGTGTTCCAGTTATGCAATGGTTGCATACAATTTCAACTGTTTTGACAGAGCTTGACATCAAACATACATATACACAACTTTTGTGAATAAATATTAAGAAAACATTGAATAATGATCTTCTTAATAAACAGACTGCTGCATTTTCTTATTTTCTCTAGTAGAACTCCTGCCATTTTTGAATGCTTTTATATCCCTTTATTTACAGGCTTGTAGTAAATTAATTATAAAATAAATATTTTTCCCCAGAAAGGTAGCAAATATGCGATTTGTTTTCCATCTAACGTGACTAATATCAATGTTTTTTGCATCATTAGAGGTGCATTTTGGTGGAACGTGTTTAAAATACATACCTCATTGTGCACAGGATTACTCTGGAATACTTTAGTACACAACGTTGCAGCTTGGACGATCGGATCGAGTAAATTCTCTCAATTCCAATGATATGTGATTCAAATCTGTGCAATATATCTATCCAATATTACGAGCTTGGGATTAATGAGTGTAAAAATCAACGCATTTTGCATTTCTCGGGTGCTAAGGGTTAACTGGTCTGTGACCACGTTGCTAAATACCAACCAGCTGATGGGTCTGAAAGAGGAATAGAGTTCAGCTCATTCTCTCGCTCTTGCCCACATCAATGTCCACTATAAATATCAGTTTGTCTGCGGTAGGCATTCATGTTCAGCTGTGATGATTTTCCTTGTCCATGTCTGTTCTACTGTGAAAGTTCTCATTTTTGGACAGATTCCATTCATACTCGAGTCTCAGTGACTGGCATCCAAATGTTGCAGCAGCACGGATGGTTTCACACATTCGCTTTCCAAGACATGCACGGTTTCACTCAAAGTGAAGTCATGCTTCAGGTTTCCTCACGATGTTTTTATGATTACCCTTCTGCTGGGAGCCTGCAGTTTCCTGTTTGATACTTTGGGTCCCTTACGGGGGTCAGTTGTCAAGTCACTCTGTTACCAATTATTATTTTTCTCACTATTAGCTGTGATATTATAAATCATTAAAAATGATCTGTTAACCCTTGTTCATGTACTCAGACTTGGTGGTAACGCCCTTCATGTACTCATAATAGAGTGGTAATACTCTCTGGCAGGTTTGTGCAGAGGGAGGGGCTTGGGGGTGCCTGGGCACCTGTCCCTTAAGCCAAAATTATTAACAGTGCCTGCCTTTATAGGTACAGAGCTCCGCTGGCAAGGGTAAGATGAGCACCGTCTGTAGGGCCTTTGAATTAGCAAAACACCTTTGAGCACCTGGCTCTCAAAAAGTCTCTGCATGGCCCTGCCCTCCGCATACAGTGAACATATTGATCCCTATTTCATTTTTAGGGCATGGTTTGGTGGGCTTGGCTGTGGACTCACCAGGCTGTGGAAGTTTGCTGAGCCAACAGCGTGGGGCTCTGGGCTTCCCCTCTCAGGCCAAGCTTGGAGCGTGTTGCCTGAGCCTGGGCCTGGTCCTCCCGCCGGGTGGGGCTGCTCCACTGGCGCCTGGCCTGCTTCAGCCAGCGGCCACCCAGCCCCCACTTCTCCAGGTAGACTCGGCACAGCTCGTAGTTCATGGCTGAATAGTAGAGGAAGTCCAGGGCCAGGAGGATCATGACAAAGAAGCCGTAGACCCAGACTCCGATGAGGGCGCTGTAGTTACTGCACAGACAGGGTAAACGTCATATTAAAACCAATTTCTATTAAAGTCAGTACATATTGTCCATTACATCAATGGAGAAATTCATAAAACTATGAAAAGCAAGAATGTAGATGAAAGATTGCAGAAACTGAGTTCCAAAATGGACTTATAGTGGACTGTTGATATCGTAATCATATTTCATTGTTTTTCTGTGCTCTTAGAAATTGTACTAATGGTCTCCTGATTATATAATGTTGCTCAGAGCAATATCAAAAGCTTCATTTATATACTTAATAGACCCTTAATAAACCCTTATCCATCCGTCCATCCATCCATTTTCTGTAACCACTTGTCCTATTCAGGTTCGTGGAGGTTCCAGGGACTATAATAAGACTCATTTTAGGGGAACATCCATCTAAAATCTTTTAATATGAAATTAAGGCAGGGTATTTAATCTACTGTGGCTAAATGACAAACAATTGCAGTAACAACTGAAAAAGTACAATATTCCTTAATAGCCCTTTACCTGGATGTGATGAAAACTTAAAAAGCAGCCAGTGGTTTTAGCAGGAAAGGAGAGATTCTCAGCTCAAATTGGTTTCTGAGCCTGTCCAATCAACCAAAGTATAAAGAAAACCCACAAACCCCACAGAAAAACAGTGGAGAAAAACACACTGACTGAGCATATCGTGGCCTTGAAGCAGTAAAACTGATTAAGTATCAATTCAATCATCAACTCTTGTCTACATTGAAGTCAGAAGTTATACATGCCTATATTTGACGTATAAAATGTAGCTTAGAAATGTTCTGGGTTGATCACCCCTGTTGTATCAGAATAGGTGCATCTCCAGTGTACGGCTGAATGGGCTGGAAAATGCATCCTCAGGCGAACTGCCAGGAAGCCCCATGTCTTCACAAAAATGGAAGCAGAGCCCTGGTCAGTGTTCCACATCAGTGGTAAATAACCTTTTAAAATCCCACAGAACAGAGCACTTTGTTCCTGCTGGTTATTTGTTTTGTAGCCAGTAGCATTTACATGTACAATACAGATATCATAAAGACACACAGTTATTTAAATATAAAAAAGCCTCACTTTGTTTGCCACCCCTCTTTAAACAGAATAACTGATGGGTAAGAAAATATCCATCTTGTAAGGAGTGCAGTATGATCACTTCCCCAGAATTGCTGACTTATTTTGTGTTTGCTGCAACATAAGCAAATTGCAGTTATTGCTGATCATTTTCTAGCTGTATTGCTACTATTATGACTGTTTGAATATTCTAAACTTTTACAAACTTTCTATTGATAAGTACACTGTAAATTCTGTAAATGTGATTAGTGATCTATTATAGGTTTGTTTATTTTGTTTATTTAGTGAACACCCATATCATTTGCACTCTCCATTCCGGCTGTCGACCATCATGTATAAAGGGCACATTCTGAACTCATTCAGGGCCTCAGGGTGGCATCAGTGACAATTACAGAGACAGACTGAAGCCTCATTAGCAACGGATGGCCAGCAGATCATTGTGAGCATGAAATCAGAGCTGGCGTGGGGTTGGTGACATCAGGACAGACTGTGCATTAAACATATCCCCCATCTTCAGCCACCCTTCCAATTGAACTTGATCTTATTTTTCTATTTTTTCTCCTAGCCCAGATCACTTTTAAAGACCTGTATGGCCGTGTCTGGCCAGAGAAGAAGAGTATTGCATTCTGTGTAATACTTCCCTTGACATTTTTTGCACTGGTACTGTTTGTTGTTGTTTATTATGTATTGTTACTGTCTGTTAATATTTAAATGTCTTTTTACTGGGTTAATGTGTGTATAGTGCTACTGGAAACCTGCAGTTTCCATCCATCCATCCATCCATCCATCCATCCATCTATCTATCCATCTATCCATCTATCTATCTATCTATCTATCTATCTATCTATCATCTTCACCAGAAGCATCTGTATTCCCCTTTGCCTCAGCATTTTCACTGGCACGTCACCCTGCTTCAGTGGAAGAAAGCACCTTCTCGCATGTCTCTCAAGTGTCCACTGGCTGCCTGTCCTCAGTCAGCAGTACAGTAGGAACAGCCTTTCGCCAGCTTCAGACTCTTTGATCACTATTTGTACACGTACACATCAAAAGGCAAAGTGAGCTCTCCATGTTCATTGCAGCTGGAAAAAGAGTCTAATTGAACGGTATTGTGTGGAGGCCAGGAGTCTGAAGCATGATGTGCCTTTTAAGGAGCTTTAGGGAATAAAAAGTTAATGCTTTGAAGACACGGGTGTTTGTGCACATGTGTGTGTGCTGTGTGAGAGACCAGGAGTGGGAAGGAGAGAAAGAGTTAATGGGAAGCAGTGAGCTTTTTTTCCAGCGTGTCTTTGGCATGAACAAGGGCAGAACAGCTCAGAAATGCAGATGATTACCGAATCCGGCTCTCCGTCTGTTTTTTTTTGCACACTTTGCAGCACTTTATTCTTAAAAACTGTAAGAACAAGCAGTACTCATGCTCTCTGTCACCCAGAAATAGCCCTCTTATTTCCAGACAAAGGGCTGCACTTTTGGTGTGTGTGTACATACTTCCTTCTCTATGGTGCTCTCAGAATGGTCCAAGGCATGTTGAGGAAACAGTAACTTGACAAGACAGGTGGACCAACTAAAGCTGTTTCACTGAGCTTTGCTGCTATAGATAGCAGACAGTGTGATTCACTTCAGTTTATTCTGCTGCCTCCTTCTCCTTCTCATACCGACGTGTGCATCACCAAGAACACAGTAATAAACAAACCCTCACTGTTTCCACTGCATTATGCTGTCAAAAATTAACTTCTGTTTACCTTTTTCCCTCAACACTTATCTAGTACAGCTTCTCAGTGATCCTGAAGCCAGGACAGTAGGCAGAGTATTACCTGGACAGGATGCCAGTCCATCGCAGGGCATGAACATGCACAGTAATTTAGAGACACTAATAAATACAGTACTATGCAAAAATCTTAGGCAGGGAAAGGAAATGATTTTTAAATGATCTTCATGTTGGTATGAAACTATGACATTATGTCTGTCAAAATGTATCAGCTTAGCCATTTCAAAACCTCTCCTAGATTCACTACAGTATTTTTCCGTACCATTCAATTCACCAATGTATTTTTTGATTCAACCACTACCCTACCGTATTTATCTATTTAATACCTCATTTAGTTATTTGACTAATTAATTTAATTAATTAATTGAGCTGGTGTTGAAATTTAATGAATATGTGGAATGGCTGGGGTGCCGCTGAGAAGAGGTTTGGGAACAAGATATCCAACAAGATATCAGTGACTATTCTGTGAACAGAACAAATTTTGGTCAATTTTGATTTTGGTACTATTAATTTGCGTGTATTCTAATTTGAAATTATGTTTATTTTATGAGCAAATATACACTGTCTACCAAGATAAACAGCTTTAAATATTTTCTTTGACTAGGACTTTTGCACAGTACTGTACCTGTATGCTGTGAGAGGAAACCAGAGTATTGAGAAGAAACCCAAACAAAGGATAACAGGCAAATTCCGTAGACATAGCCTTGGAAGGGACTGAACCCAAAACTACACTCTGAGCCACTGTGCTGCCCCCTGTTGTTATTATAAACATATTTTACATATGACCAAAAAAAAAAACAAAACAGTAATGGTAGCAATAAAAATATTAAATATGGTGTTTCTTTTCCTAATTTTCACCCTTTTCATATGCTTTAAATAATGTGGGATACTAATTCGCCATCACAAATGAGGACTGTAAAGAGCAGGACTTACTTGTGAGAGAAGCCATCAGGATGCAATGTCATGTTGACCTGCATGACATGCTGAAACTCTGTCTCATTGCAACAGTACTTAAATGCCGTGTTATTGTGGTGGCAGCAGAACATATAGGTCTTGTTGTCGGACAGGCGGGGGCAGTGGAAGCCAAAGTGGTAGCGCCCCTTGTGGTCAGAGTAAGGTTCACACACCCGGAAGTGTGCCGAGTAGGCTGTGAGGGACAAATGGATTAAGATGGAAGTTGTTAGAAACACCAAACAGACCACATGACACAGCTAAATAATATCCTGAATATGATATTAAAAAAACCGATGGCAAAGGCCAAGAACTTAATTCTTCCGAAGACCTTCATATCAAAACTGAAATATTTTAATCCAGCACAATAATTAAAAACTCAACATATTTCATATTTATTTCTCTAGTCCAGGGGTCAGCAACCTGCGGCTCGCAAGCCACATGCGATTCTCTGAGCATGAGGCTGCAGCTCTTCTCAGAACGAGAGATGCATTCACATTTTCATGTCTTAACATATTATGATATTACTTTCGTAAATATAAATACTTTATTTATGGGTTAACATTATTATTTTTGATTTAGATATTTCTTTAGCTATATGTGAATGAGGCAGTATGTCGCATACTTCTGTGATGTCTCAACTGCATAATTTACATCTTCCACAAAGTCATTCTCTACGACGAGATTACATCTCCGGTCAAATTGTATGTTTTCTGGAGTTTTATTCTGTGTCCGAGATTGGATGTAGACTTAAAAGTTTATTGGGATTCCTAATTCTTTCATATACTTTTCGTAGTAGCTAAATCCTCACAACGCCTTCCTAGGTCTGTGTAAAATTATAATATTTTCTCCAATTTACATATTATAGCCAGCTGATTTCGAAGTGGTGATTTTTGCACAGCTCAGTCAGCACAGTTACAGTAGTGAAGTGGAGAGTGAAGGGCAGACAATGCAGAGCCAAACAAACTTTACTCAGAAAGAAGGGGTGAGGGTGAAGACTATTGCAACAGAACTGAACGATATTGTGATATTAGTCACCTTTGCGCTGTTTCGTATCCGAGTGATTTAAATCTGAGAGCTCCCCCCCCCCCTTAATTGTTTTTCTTTATTTTTTGTAAGTACTTGAAGTTTTATTTTTGTTTTAAATGCCTATATATACCGACATCGCATTAAAAATCGTATCTCAAACCCTCTTCTCTGTCAATTGCAGCTCTTTGTAAGTCTTTGGTCAGACATTTAAGATAAAATGGCTCTTTGCTTTAAAAAGGTTGCCGACCTATGCTCTAGTCAATCAAACATGATATCCTAAAGAATAATGTCCAAATATAAATTGAAAGCAAAATAAGCTGCTAACGGCAACCAAAGGCCACTAAGGAGCCCTTGAGATCCGCTGAGATTCTCCTCAGCCAGAATATCGCAGCATTTCAGCCACAAGTCCAGTCCATCCCCCACCTGATTGCAGCGTTCACATGGTTAAACACTTGGCATAGTCATCCTGGAGGTGGAGGCCAAAGAAGGTCAGCCTGCAGGCCTGCCCTCAGCCTGGCACAAACAGACCCATCTCACCTATTTTGCACTAGCTTTTGTGTGGCTGCCATCTTGCCGTTGCTTCTTGGCCCTTAGAACAACCCAATTCCATCAAAATTACCATACAAATATTATCAAAAGCGAACAATATTTTTCAAACACAAATTGCACAAATTGTAGAAAAAAAGCATGGTAGTTAATGAAACCCAGCTGGTTTTATTTGGATGATTTTTACGCAAGAAAAATAAACTGGACCATCTTCAGGTTTGGGAATCTGAAGCAGCTCAGTTCAGCAGCTTCAGTGTGAGCTGCTGTGTTTCCCTTTGCACTTCTGAGAGCCAATAAAGATGTTTTGATCAATGCTGTGCTTTTCCTGCCTATAACTGTGCATCCTATTTTCTGCTGTATAAAAAGCCTGTCCGACCCAGATTGTAGACGTCCCACAGCCTTGTACAACTGCCTTAGGCATCACTGAATGCATAATCTTAAAAGAATGAACTGAAAACTGTGTATACTTAAACTGAAACTGATGCTTTCAACCCATCATTAAACCTAACACTGCTACATTAGTTTAAAATCAGTTTATGCTGCACTTATGTAATTATCAAGATCTTTAAACTGCATTGCACTTCAGAGAATCGTTCATAAACATTTACCATAATTTACAAAAAGATCTTTTTTCCTGGACAAAAAACTTGGAGGCTTTGATTTGTGGAATGTCATATGATCCAAAAACATACATTTTGCAAAATGAAAGCACAGCAGGAAAGTAATTTTACCTGTCAGAGAATTAGTTTGGGAAGAGAGTCTAAAAGCTTTCATGCTCCTGCCTGTTTCATGTCTTACCACTGTGCCTCAGATAACAAAGTATTTAAAACACCACAAAGTTTCCTAACTGTGTGCAAACGGTGTAATAACAGATCAAGGAAATAGCAGAGGGAGACATGCACTGTAATCCAATTGTCTTGTGATGGCAAACAGAAAATTACACCATTAAGGATGAAAGAATTTCCATCCGGATGTTTATAAAATTGAATTTGATTCCTGTATTCCTCATAAGCGACAGATGGACCCAGTCTAGTTAAATTACAGGGAGGAATTATCTTTTGTTTGTCTTGTCCGTCACAGTAGGATTTCTTTTCCACCAGCCTTCTTCGTGAGACTAAGTAAACAAGTTCACTTACACTACTACAAAGAAGAAGAAAAAACAGAACAAAGAAAAGTTACACGGTGGTGCTGATGCATACTGTAATTGGGGAAGTTAATAAAAAATGACAGTAATGTATACAGAGATATCACTAGGCTGGTGCAATTGATTTGCAAATTTCTGTTAGGTTAAGATACATATTCACTGCATTGTATTTGATTTAAGACACTAAATTCCTTACCCTGTTACCTGATATATAAAATGCCCCCAGGTACAGAAAATTGCATTTTATTCTTCATGTGCCCTTTACCTTAGTTATTTTTCTATACTATTCAGCAGATCTAGTTCTTTTTAGCTTAATATTGCCTCTAAGCTATATTAGTTTAATGCATTAAAATACCCTGCCGACCTTGGGCAGGATAAGTGGTTGGAAGACAGATGGTTGGATATAAAATATGTGAAACAGAATGAAAATATAAACCCCATTATTCATCAGCTGTTTAAAAACGCTCAAGGAAAAGGCAGTATGGTAAACTGGATAGTGAATTTTTTTTTTTTCTGGAGATGCGATCAATGTGCAATTCGTAGGAGACTCACTTCATTTCTGTAAGCAAAATAAATAAATAAATACATAAAAAAGATGCTGTGAAAACAGTCTTTAATGGTCATTTATCCAGATGAGGTTGTCAGTGTTTTGTGTCTCCACATTGAGGCTATATGCAGTGGGGTTTCCAGAAATTCTCCCCATTCTCTCATCTTCCAAGTAACAATGAACGAACCTGATGAGTCTATATTCACCCAATTAGGTAAACTGTGTGATCTTTCCGGAAACCAACCAAAAAAAGCCATCATCCTGCAAGCGGCGCAAAGAGGAGATGCTCATTTGCATGTAGGCCTAATAGAAGAAGGCTATTTGCATACAGATGAGTGCTAGCTGGGATTTAGTGAGGCAAAGTATTGGTCTGCTTTTGGACATCTGAACCTATGAGGAAGCCAGTCTAAGGAATGGGTCTCTGGTATTTGTCTGAGCAAATACCGAAGTGGCAAGCAGGAAGAAATGGATATACATAAGAGTGAACAGGCAAATAGTGACACATTCTATAACTATTGAAAATATTTCCCCAATGTAGCTTTATAAATTCATGGATTATTTGAGCAAGAGATCAATGTGGAACTTGATATAATCCATCCATCAATGTCCAGGATGGAGCTGGGCAAGGGACACCCTGAATAACATGCTAGTAAATTATAGAGTACCCACTCACAATCTACAGGTAAACTCACTGGACCACGAACAGAAACTGAAATGAACACAGGGATACTACACATAGGAAGTGAACTCACAGTCAACCACTAAACCTCCACCATATTGCCTCAGATATCTGGAGGGTTAAGAGTGAAACAACAAATTATATTAGAGTGCCAACCAAAAAACTCCCCCATCATCGCAATACTTGTGTAACCACAATTCCCGGCAGCTGAAAGCTGTTTCTATGGGTATCCAGCCCTTTCGTGAAAAGATGATAAAAATGTTTCACAAATATTTCCTCTGACTCATGCTAATCTAAAAAAAAGCGCACAATTGTCTAAAATGTAAAAACAAGTCAGAAAGGTCTGAATGAAAAGAAATTAGATTTGACAGATCAGAAGCGAGGGCTGGATAGACAGCGCCTCCAGTTAACAAGCCGGTGCCAGGGCAGGAGGCGGAGGAGTGAGGAGCACAGCTGAGAGGAGGCTCAGTGTGAACCTCCTGTTTACATTCATTCCCCTTAGAGTGCTGGTTTACTGTTTACCTGATCCATTTGGGTTAAGTACCTCACTCTGGGGTACCGCACAAACTAACAGACAATCATCAGATTATGAAAACAAAAGACGTTGTGGACAAAAGCATCTGATAAATAAATATATTTAAAATAAATGTATAAATGTTATGAGTATAATTGCTATGCTGCCTATCATCTAGTGCAGTTAAAATTCATTCATAAAGCCTTAATATTCATTCATAAAACTAACACTTTTAAAATAGTTTCCATTAGACCATTCTATAAACATTAAACCTTCTATTTTGATTGCATGCAGAATACATAAATAAATCAGTACTTAGGCTTTCATGGTTTTTTATCTGGCTTCTTCTGTTTTTCCAGGCTCTAAGAAACAGAATAATTCTTATTTTAAAGGACTCTGCACTCTGAAAATGCTAAAACGAATATTTATGAAATCATAATTAAACCTTAGAAGTCCTCTCTTGTAAGGTAATTTTACCTCAGTTAGATTTTAATACTGTCTTTCAATAGAACCCAGAGTAGTGATGATATTTTACTAATTACTAGGCTAATTACGGCAATTGCTTGTCTAAATTAGTGTAAATGTTTACTCATGCACACCTGGATATTTTAGGCCTAATAATGACAATATTGAGATTGTTGAAACCCAATCTGAGTTGACATCATTATGAATAGCAGTCTTTAAATTACTAGTAAATCAATTTAACTGGTTGGATTTTATCTGTAAGTTAAGTTGTTTGTAAGCTGTTATTTCAGAAACACTACTGGTGTGGTAAGCATCAAACAAGGATGAATTACGTATATTGTTATATTTAATATTGAATTTGATAGTGAAAATCCTGCTAAGATAATAGTTATCATCATAGTTATCATCCTCATCTTCATCTTCTTCACACCCCTTTTCATAGTGAGCATTGCTGTGCTTAATAGTTTAGTGATCCCCCACTCCAGTCAAGGACAACAATGTGGATGCAAAATTTGGTACAATTTGGTGTGTAGCCATGATAGCAATTCTATATTTTGTATTGGTACAGAAAGCATTATTTAATGTTAAGCAGCTGGAACTGCTTGGAAAGGGCATCACTGTGACATCACAAGATACTGATGCGAACGTTCTACAAAGCACTTCCCTACTTCCCTAGCACATCACATCATTTTAGTTTAAAATTCAACCCCAGGGTAAAATGCATGCTAAAACCATCATACATTACATTTACAATTGAAGAGTTACACATTCATATCTAATAAGCTATTTGAATTGTATTTTAATTGACTTCACAATTTTATATTATGAAGTTCCATTTTTAACTAGAAAAGGCAAATAATTTGTTCCCTAGTACAGATGGTTTTACTTCTAAATTGATTGTGCATTGTGAAATGTATTTTGAACCAATGTGATATCCAACAATTGTATTGATTAATGTTCCGCAATTTAAATGAAACAGTCAAATCATATGTTCCCTGGTACATGATTTTAGCTTAATATTAAACTAGCTTAAAAATGAACCCTGAAGTTAACCAGTGGAAGAGCAGAGCACAAGACCTTTTACTATATTCAAAACCTGAAGTATGTTCCTGTTCATTAATCAGCAAATTGTTGCTTCCTAAACTGGTCTTAAATCACATGATTTTGCTTTAGGCAGGAAGAAGAGCCTCTCCATGTGTGTAATTATGCAGCAACTCCCCCCACCCCCCACTGTGTATCTCATAAGGAGTGCCTCTGTCATTATAACCCCACACAGGCCAATGAGATCTGACACCTGTTCAGTCATTTTGAAGTTAATAATGAAAACCTGGGAAACAGCATTAGTATTCACTAAGCAAATAATCAACAGGCAGTGCTTCATTTGTGCAGCAGCTATTGTCAGGAACTCTGGCTCAGAGCAGTCTGCACTTTGACACCTCTCAGGTGTACTCTGGAACCTCACACACTACACCCAATATAGTTCAACTTAAAATTTATTTGAGTTAAACTTTGGAATTAATGCAAATTGAAGTAAAGGACTGTATATTTTTTAAATCGTTTGCATTGTATGATTTTTTTTACATACATCAGCCTAAATTAGTATGTTTTACTTATTTGATTTGAAAAGGAAAAAACACTAACCAGTGTTCATAGAAAATATTGCATTGTTTAAGTAATTCATAGTGCATTCATAGTGCATTATCATAAAAGACTGATTTGTGTGTATGACATCATCATGATCTTTATCAGCTCCAGCACCTCAGAATTTACAAAAAATAGATGTGGTGATTTCACTAGTGAAGACTCATAAACCTCCAATGGTCTGTGCAAGCCTCTTACAACATCCCTCTACCTTCATGGTTCACTAAGCATGACTCTCTTCAAATTGTCTGAGGGCTTCTATAAGTGTGGGAAAGCCTCACTGATCCATAACACCCTCACAATAAGTACTCCAAGCTCCATTAATTCAAGAAGTCAGAGGGAATTGCTGTTCTACACCATGTGAAGGTGTGTGATATATATTATCTGTTCACTTTATTTATTTTTTCTTTGCAATAATCACAATACAGAGCACCGCTCCAGGAGATTATAACACTACCTAGCTTGTCTTGCCTCAGTCTCACTGGTCTGTCATGCCATGGTGACTGTGACTGATATTGATGTAGGTTTCAGGTTAGTTTCTCAGCAAGGAACTAAGGTTACTATAGTTAGGACAAACACTGAGGAATGTCACTACATTGCTCAGTTATTTCAAGCTGACAGAAGGCAAATCAATGCTGCAATCATAACATGCCTTAATTCTGAGTACTCTGAGTGGCAGTGGATGACAATTTGTTTTACAACTAAATCTGTCACTTTTTTGTTAAAGTTATTAGCAAGATGTTCATTATCATGCATTGGTCATGTCTACTACATAAAAATACATAAAACAATACAATTT